CCCAAGTAGATCGGTAAATCAGCATCAGCTTTCAAACTAGTATATCGCCAAGTGCATGGGTGGAGTTGCGCAACGTGAGTTGGAAAGTTTGTGATGAACAGCGAAAATGACTCACCCACTACCCGAAATACAGTCACACAGCCTGCTTTTTTCTGGGTTCGGGCTTATTTCTTGTCGACGTTGTAATGGTCAGAACCATGTTATATGCAGTTAATACGGTGAGGTGTCCAAAGTTTGGGTTCGCACGAGGACTAGCTTACATTCTCATTACTTGGGGCATAGTTTCGCGATGTAGGTTGGTTGGGAGAGTGGGAACGCTGAACAATACATGAGACGAAACCTCTCTCAGGAATACAAGGCATGAACTCCATTCGGGGAGGGAGATTTAGCACGAATTGAGATGGAGAGGAGGAGGGAGTCCCAGCTTAGCAAGGAACCACACACCAGCTCGTTCGTCTAGAGTTGCAGGTAAATTTTGTGACAAAAAGGCATGTTTTATCCGTTGTCGGCATCTCTGAGCCCGTGCCACACAGAGGCCCTCACATTTGCCCCGAAATATGTCAACCAGCGGGCTACTCCACACAAGCGGGCTACGTACCATCAATTATCTCGTTAAGTTGGGTTTCGGGTTTCTAAACATGGGTTGAAAGTAAAATTGCGACCAAAGCCGGAAGAGGGGCCAAACTCATCCACTGGCCCCGCAATACCTGTTTTGTATCCAGGGGCGTGCGCAAAGTTGAACAATACTTGGGGAAACGACCAAAAAACTTAACTCAGAATGAAGCGAACCGCAGGCACAGCAAATTGTGTGCGTCTTAAAGCAGCATCGCATGATCTTGATCATCCTATTGCTACATGTCTATGTGGAAACATTGTTCATGGCCAAATAGGCCACGCGGCACTACTCGGCTATGTAAGGCATTCCACGACAAACTATTCGCTGCGCGCCGCTTCCCCGCCGTCCTTGAGACGTTCGGCCTCTACGCAGCGTACACTGTTCGGCCTCTACGCGGCGGTGCACGGTCGCGCAAAGCCACCCAATCATCAGCGCTCGAATCGGGCCATTGGCTGAGCGTTGGTATTCAGTAATCGGTTAGTCAGAGCGCTCCTCGAACAAGAGCAGCAGAGTACTACCATCGTCGCCTGTTTGTGTCAGGGAGATTAACGTCCATGTATGCAGGCACCTCCAGGTCAGATTCAGCAGCGTACACAACATTGCCATCATGCACAGAGGTCATGACCACACAGCAATGTCTGAAAAAGGCAAAGTTAAGCGATTTCAAAATTTTATTTGGTCTTACCAGATATGTTTGACATGTGAGTTTTGCAGCACAACCATTGATTCCTTCACATTGATGAATGACTGAATGCAAATCATTACCTCAGTGTGGAGCGGCTCAGCATTGGTGTAACCCACACTCACACATTTGCATGCTGACTGCAATGTGTGCAGACCAATGAACTGTTCGTTCACAGGACATGCTTACTCACTGATGCAAAGTGTGAAGTACTTGTATGTTGGTCAAAATGTCCACTACACATTGGCCATTGAGGAATTTTATGCAATTCCTGTCATGAATACACTCACATCTGTGCATGGACATGGTTAACCAGCATGGTAATGACAAAACCCACTCAGCTGTGGAGCTACGCTCAGACTCAGATGCTCTTGTCTGTGGCCAGGGGGTGATAGCAGGCAGCTGCATTAGTTGCGAAGCTGATATGACAAATAAAGAGTGGTCATTTCTAAGTGAGGCCATATGTCAGCAGTTCAGATAACCCCTGAAAATGAACATATGCTCTTACATGCAGATACTCTTGTTATACATGTCAATGACTTTGATTCATCACTTACATCTTAAGGAACAACAAAAACAGAAGCAAATGACTTGCAGTGCATCAAAAAGTACATCATTCATGAATTAACAGCCGACTCATATGGCATTCGCCAAAGGTCCGCATTCCCGTGATATGTCCTTGATAACTGTCATGCAATTAACCCATCCATGGTGACAATCAATGCGAGCCGCTACTGTAACTGCTCACGTCTTTCATGAGGCCCATGAGCATGAAAGCTCCTCCTTCTCCGCAGACGACTCGGAGTGCTTCATGTTGGTTACTTCTTAACAATGTAAAACAAAAAGCAATCTACACCGGAAAACGAGCCCCGCTGCTCAATGGCGCCGGTTTGCAATGGCGACCGTTACGGCGACATACATTGCACTCATAATTGGTAGGTTCTTGATGACCATCGGCAGCAAGCATTACGGGTTAATACTCTTCACCAAAAACAGATTGGAATATATGACACAATTATTAAAAATGATTGAAACACCAAACATTACAATTTTAGATAAACAAGTCTTACTGAGCCTCCTATTATTCAAGGCACTATTGTTCTAGGATGTGCGTCGGGATGACAGCTGTCTGCTCTTTGGGCCAAATAAGGAACGTCAACCGGAGAAGAAAAAAAAACAGATTTTACGTCGCATCTTCTGTTTTATAGTATTGGTGAGAGTGCCGGCCTTTTTTTCGGTGCCGTACTTTTTGCGGACAGTGACGTTCTTTTTTATAACACCGGGGGAATATTACCGGTCCCGGTCAAGGACTGAAGAGCCATTCCACCCCATCGCGAAATGTCTTCTGGCTGTCATACTGGCGACACGGGGCGGGATCTCCTGGTTAATCCGGAGGCCATTAGAAATATATATCATATCACATTGTTCCTCTCCCTGACACGGGAGGCCTTCTGACCCGCTCAGCTCACCCCGGATCAGCACAGGAAGACTCATTGATGCAACAACACCCCTGATCGCCGTAGATGGTCCAATAATTGTCACATAGACTTCAGTTCCATGTCATGCCTTTTCTATGTTCCTCAAAGATATTGAAGACCCCTGAACGTGGATTGTAGATGAAAGAGGGTCCCAAATTTGTATGAACATGACTAATTCATGTTCGTCTTAAAATGTTCAAGATTCAGCCAGAATTAACTATCGATTAAAAAACTCTGCAGTACGGTTTTGAACATGCGCGCTCGTGAGTCATAGCAACAACAGCCCCGACGCCCGGCGTTGTAGCCTCCATAGGCCGTGCGGCGTTGGCCCGTGGCTGACATTGAGCGATGGCCAATAAGCAAACAAAAAAGATGGCGCATGTTGAGAAAGATGGCTGATGAGCCAGGCAAATTGGCATACATGTTTAATGCGATGCAAAATTGAGCTAAACGCAACCTTAATCCGAAAAGTGGGACGGGGACAGTTATCACTGCTGCCCCCCAACCTTGAAAAGTGGGGGGGGGGGGGAAGACATGGCCTCCTGTCCCCCTCCGCTGTTCATACACCCATACTTCGAATGTTCTTGTGGATTAAGATATAAGCAGCCGGAGGGGTCTCGTGTGCTTTCCACTTATACCTGAAAAGCAAGCAAGGGAATCAAGACGTTCATCTTTGATGAATAAAAGAAACTGCTCCGGTAGTCCGATTAGATGCCGACCTACTTGAAGGCATGCATCACTGTCATCTGGGTGAGTTGCATCAAACTTTTGAAATGTTCACTGTACTATTCGCTAGTTTCTTAGACAAATGGCTGCGCATAGCAGCTCAGTAGTGCAGTCTTGGCTACACAGCGAATATTGCCCTGGCAGCACATGTTCGGCTGGCCTTCATAAGCCCTAGAGTTTTTAGTAGAAGCCGCCGCCTGTCATAAATTCGCATGCTTCGAACGCACCAGAATCCACTAAATCCCAAGTAGCTCGCACATTGACTTAAAAACCCCAACCACTAACATGATGTCACTCGCGCCGCGCGCCGCCATCTTCACGGATGTCCCGCTGACTCCCGAGATGTTAAAACGTTTTGCAAGCCCAGAAGTCGACAAGTGTGACGTCATACCTGCGCGTCACGAATCCATCATGGCGGTCCGACCAATCATGGAGCAGGATTTCAACCACTGGTAGCACGGTAGCTTAGATGAATCGCGGCCCTAATGGTTAATTGTTTGTGACAAAACTGCATAATGTCCAACTAAATTAGTAAATTTTCATCCTCAGACATGTTTCGTCACCATGTAACTTTCAACTTGTTCTAGAATGCTTCTTAAAAGAACTCGTAGAAATAGTCAAAGTATATCAATTTTTACTGGACCGATGGTATAAGCCATGACACCGTTAGGAAGGTATTTCGGCTGCGTTGCCTTCTCGTATCATGGTTGACCTCGTACTCATGCTTTGATGACGAACATCGCATAGACCTACGAAACAGGTGCTCTGTTTTATTTATTATTACAAGCATTTATGCAACGGTGCACACACATACGGCTATATGATGACCGGGGATGATCGTTTAAATAATGCCTGGGACGCACGCCCCGGGAATTTATATACAAGTAAATATGTTACGTCACACAATCACACACAAGGATCATGAAACTCATACATTAGCTGGACATCGTAATGGTATGCCGAACAGCCATACGCATACACACGTGTTCGCGGCGCATTTATTCGTCAAAATCGCATGACTGCGTCGGTGGTGGGTGCCTGACACCAGCCAGTAACGGCGCTTTTGATCCCGACACCAGCCAGTAACGGCGCCTTTGGTCCTGACACCAGCCAGTGACGGCGCCTTTGATGCCGTCCCAATGGGTGATAGCTGCCGACCTGGCGCCATGCTGTGCTGGCCCCAGACATCGCGTCTAGGGCGGACTGATGTTCTCTGTGACCAATCGTCCCTTGCTGAGCTGGATGGGCCGCCGGTTCCTGATCAGCTTTATGTTGAACGTCTCGTCCTGGAAGATCTCGGCGTATAGCTGGATGATAAACTCCTGCTCCAGCAACATCTCGGTGGACGAGACCAGCCACAGCACCACTGGATTGCAGGGTGGCTCCGTCAAGCTAGCCGTAGTAGCTGTAGTACCGCGCCAGTGCGGTCTGCATCATCACCATCATCGGCGTAAGGTCAGCGTTGATGTGGATGGTGCTGTTGATGGCGGCCAGTTCCTCAAGGATTAAGATCGATCTCGAATGTGGGGAACATGGGATGAGTGGCAGGCAGGTTCCAGGCGCCATTGAGCGGCACCGCCACAATCACCAGCCCGCCCGGGTGCTTCCTGGCCTCTTCGTACGTGTCGTACTTGTTGCTGGCAAACACCATCTGCGCCTCGGCATCGAAGAACTTGCCGTCGATAGTGTGCTCGGAACCATGGTCACCCTGGCCTTCTCCCCAGTGGAAGACCATCTCCAGGAACCTGTAGGTGCCGAAAGTCGGCTTGCTGGGAAAGGAGAGCTGCATGAGCGGTGCGGTTAAGTTCTCCGGCCGGAAGAAGAGCTTGATGTTGCGGCCAGTGTTCATGCCCTTGATCTCGCCGTTCTGCAAGCCTGGCGCAAAGTCCACCTTGACGCGCTCAGTCTCCGGCCCGCGGCTGCTGGGCGTTGGCACCACGTCAATGGGCGATTGTAGTGGGCCATCACACAGCGGGAAGTAGGTCTTCCAGGCCATCGGATCCTTCGTAGTTCCAGAGCTCCAGCGGCGCGTCGGCGTGCAGCTGCAGCAGCTGCAGAACGAGCGCCCACGCCAGCATCTTGGCGCCTGTGGGGCTGGGTCCGCTGGGGGCTGCGTCCACTCGTCACTGCACCTCGGTCGTGGTCTCGAGCGGACCAACTGACGGACCGGCCGCCCAACCCCCCTCCTTTATGGACTGATGGCTGTGATTGTCCGCCGCGTCACGCTATGTCACGTGATCAGCCGTTTTCCTCCGATCCTAAACCAGCGCGCCGAAAACCAACCACCGGGCATTTTACCTTTTTCGGACGGCATGGTGGGGCCGGTGCCTTTGGATCCGGAGTCCAGAGTGAGCCGTCCGAGCCGGTGAGACATCGGAGCTGCTCCGGATCCAGACATGTCCTAAGGAGGGACACTGTTGCGGATGGATGTGGATACGGACGAGCTGACACACCCTGATATGGATGGGCTGGCACACCCTGATCTCGATGGGCTGACACACCCTGATGTCGATGGGCTGACACACCCTGATGTAAATGGGCTGGCACACCCTGATCTCGATGGGCTGACATACCCTGATGTCGGATGGGCTGACACACCCTGATGTGGATGGGCTGACACACCCTGATGGGGATGGGCTGACACGCCCTGATGTGGATGGGCTGGCACACCCTGATGTGGATGGGCTGACACGCCCTGATGTGGATGGGCTGCCACGCCCTGATGTCGATGGGCTGACACACCCTGATGTGGATGGGCTGCCACACCCTGATATGGGTTGGGCTGACTGGCGCAGGGTCCAGTACATACAAAGTACAAAGTACTACCAGTACAAACAATCACTGTGAGTATGACGGGAGAGAAGATTGGCGTCTTGAGCGCGACGTGAAACATCGGGGTAGGTACTCGTGCTTATTCCTGATGCGACATGCATGACTGGCAAGTACCGTTTTCGGTGCCAGCAAAACTTATTTATAGCACATAAGCGCAGACGCATATAGACGGTGGGTAAAAGCGGCGATGTGTTACTTGTGTTGCCTCTCTTAAATGGGAAACAATTGTCATGTATTCAGGCGCACGTGCGCTGCACTTGCTGCCTAAATTCTAGCATAATCTGCATCACATGAAATATAAAACGATTTGCCAAAATATATTTATTGTATGTCTGCCATCCACATGTACTCACCGGTTTGATGGTATTCGGCAAGATATCCTGGTGACACACACTTGACCAACTTGCAGCATGTGCAACGGTGTCAATACGCAGGCTAATGTAGCCAGGTACCTTTGGAAATCCGTACCCATGGGTCTGATCAAGAGAGTGCGCGGTATTCGCAATGGGGAGGCTCAACGTAGCACGCGGAAAAATCACTGAAGACCCGGAGTACTGCTCAAATGTATGGCATAACATCAAAACGGCTTTTGCCATTTTTTCTGTTTTGATCTGTCCGTTTATACTTTTGGTTTTTAATCGTCATTCGTGATTCGGGCACATATCACTGCTTGTTACATATCTGACGCTGAGGGGGCGGGGGCAAATGTCCTTGAGGGCTGATATGTAAATATGGCACTGAAGCTGATGAATGCCTTGAATCGCCCGCCTTTCATCGGAGTTTAGGAGGCGGGAGTTCACGTTTGTAGTTTTCTGTTAATTTCGTGAATTCGCATGGCTTGAAACCGTTTGGCTATGGGTCTGGCCATAGGTGGCACTGTCAGTAGATAAAACTGATCCATTGGTAATGGTATACGGCATTGGTGGCTGTGACCTCAGCGGCGCAAAAGGCCAACGTGGCTCTGTACTTTGCATGGGCCCTCTCCCCCGGTTTAGGCACCAGCTCGCTGTACGCGTTTGAGACCTGAGGGGTATCAGAAACGGAGGCGCTGGCCCTATTCCCGGTTTATGGCTGACGCACCTATGAGTCGGACAGTGTTGAGGGCCGTTAGTGAGCTATCGGGTTGAGAAACAACATGTATTGAAGCTGGCATATACATTTGCCTACCGTACGGCTGATGTTGCGTCATTGTTTTTAAGATTTCAACGGCGTTGAGCATGCTTATGCTTTGACTAATCACTCCATCTATCTTTATATCACAAGAAAACCATAAGGGGAGAATGGGAGTTGCGAGCGTTAGCGCGAGCACGAATGAGCAGTAAGAGTGCAAGCTTAAGTGCGATAGGAGAGAGAGAAGAGAGAGAAAGGAGAGGAGAGAGAGAGAGAGAGAGAGAAGAAGAGAGAGAGATAGAGAGATGAGAGAGTAGAGAGAGAGAGAGAGAGAGAGAAGAGAGAGAGGAGAGATAGAGAGAGAAGAGATAGAGGAGAGAAGAGATAGAGAGAGAGATGAGAAGTGAGAGGAGAGAGAGAGAGAGAGAGAGAGAGAGAGAAACACTCTCAACCTTACGAGATCTGAATCCAGGCGTATACAGTTTGAGCATGTGCTGTGAAGCTGCATCTAGCTCACTCAGGAATTCATTGAGGAGAGAAAATTCGCTTGGCTGCCCGCAATTTAACCCTGATTGAGAGGCTAAGGAGCCAAAACAACGAAACTCAAAGATCGAAGGAGTCGCACTTGATGAGATTTGAAACCAATGGTTAAGCCATTCCACTGTTTCGTTGCGGCGTGTGATCAAAAACGATATGAATAACACATATCGCAAATATGATGTCGGCACAAATGCGAAAAAGAAATGGCCTGCAAAGGTAAGATTTCCATGAGGTATGAGACGGCGGGGCAGTGGTAGTATGAGACGGCGGAGCAGTGGCAGTATGAGACGGCGGAGCAGTGGTTGTATGAGACGGCGGAGCAGTGGTTGTATGAGACGGCGGAGCAGTGGTAGAATGAGACGGCGGAGCAGTGGTTGTTTCGACCACGGATCGTGTGTCACGCGCTTTTGTTGCGTTCTCACCATGTCTAAGCTATGATGGTCGCTGGGGAAGCTACATATTGAGCCGATATGCGGTATGTTGAAGATGTCCGCTTAAGCTGAACAGCAGGCAGCCGCGGTTATTGTCCACATGCTGGAAGGTTAATATCTATTGTATTTATCCGTACCCGGTGGTATCTTTCCACAGGTCACTTTGTTTTCGTAACGGCAGTCTGCGTTTCGTCGCAGGGTTGCAGTGAACACCCGCTTCAACGCCCATGCTTGACCACACGTGGTACTCCTTGTGTCACCAGAGAAGCTGAGATGAGGGAGAGACAGGTATTCAGAGGAACGACGCACCTTCAACCGTATTTTGTAAACTGCATATGACTTTCCTGTCACTTGGTGTTTCATGCTACTGGCTAAAGCTTCAAAGTCTTTTGATGCCAACAGTGCAAAAAACTTGGAACCGTGAGAACAGCTTTTGACTTCAGATGCAACAAATATGGGCGTTCTTTTTGCGACACCCTGTATCTCAGCTGGCAGTGATGACAGCCAAAAACCCAAGATCGAGTAAACCTTCTCAAGACCATGTGATGTCAACCACAGATGAACCGGTTGGCACTTGTGTGATCTTGAAGGGGGCGCAAGAAAATTTTGGGCTTTGCCTACCATGGAGACGAACCCCTCCACCCGAACGTGCTTGTTTTTCACTGGAGACATGCCATCGTACTTTCTTTTTTTAGAGCAGAGAGCCCCAGCCAGCTGAGCCACGGCCGGACGAACCCGAACCTGCTGAGCTCCGGACGAAGAAACCCGAGCCCGCTGGGTTCCACACGGAGAAACCCGAGCCTTGCTGAATTCCGGCCGGACAATCCCGATCTGCTGAACCCCGGCTCAATTGGAATGGTTCGCTCTGTTCGGTGTCGATGACCGAGAATGCTGTTGTACTTTGGTCTCCTGATCCTTAGGCAGCTTGTCCCATATGTGCACTCTTGCTCTTCGGCTGTGCGTGTTACTTCCGCGTCCGTTGTTTGGTTTACAGTTTCTGTTTATGCTGGCCTCAGGATTTTTGAATATTGGTCGTGACATACGCTTGGCAGCGCGATTTGCTTCATGTTTTCCGCATAGTTGGGTTATTTCCTTTTTTCCTTAATAATACGCCTACAAAGTTCTAAGGAAACGCACGGGTATACTTCACCTGTAGCATGAAGGGATCTACTTTACAACACAGAAGTGCAATCGTAACAGCATGTCTGCACTTTAGACGTGTGCTGGAGACACTTAGGTCATATGACCTGGACACTGGAGACACCGGAGACACTTCGGTCATATAACCAGTCAGCATGACTGGTCATAGACATTCCTATCTTGAGTAAGCTGTTTAAGACATTTAGCTGTGTAGTGAAATATTTAGTTGCAGCTATTTCCAGTCGTCACCGCCTTAACTCGCTTAACTTAAAACCGGAAAAGGGCTGATCAGGGGGCCAAAAATGGCTCGGGAATGACAAGGGCACCATAGCTTACATGGGTCCACCCTAGATTGTTGCACTCACAGCTCACCAACGTTGCGGCCTCGCTCATTTTTCAGCTGAAACCCTGAAGGCGAGCCTTCGTTTTAAATCGTCGTGACCAGGATATTCTTCGCATCGTTTGTGGTGAATAATGGCAAACGTACCCGGAAAGTGGTCCGACACGAAGCCTGAATATGGCTCTGTGTTGACGGTGATAGCCCCCAAAACTATGGCGTGCTAATGAACACTCACAATAGTCGGACTTACACGCTGTGGCAACCCGACACAAAGGCGCGGAAGGGCTTGTAATAATATCAATCTAAAATCCAGTTATTTGTTTGGATAGGTATTTGTTAACTGTGCTCCTGTGATGTTTATCTCATTGATGACATCGAAAAGCTCTGCATTAAGGGCTATCGCTTGTGTTACCCGTCATGAGCAGTCTGACTGCAGTTATCACGGCCAGCCCGAGCAAGACATCTACCTCACGAACAGTCTGGCTGCAGTCATCACGGCCAGCCCGAGCCAGACATCTACCTCACGAGCAGTCTGACTGCAGTCATCACGGCCAGCCCGAGCCAGACATCTACCTCACGAACAGTCTGGCTGCAGTCATCACGGC